AGATTCTGTCACATGTGGTCTGTGGTCTGCTCCTTGCAGGAGGTGTCACCTACAGATCTGGTGACCAGCCCGTTAAGTCCTCATACAAGTCACAGATAAGAAGGTGGGAAAGTGCTTGACAGTGTCAGCCTCCCTGCAAAGATAACTTCTATCTGTTGGTCTCTTGGTACTTTTTTTCAACTGATTAAGTCCATCCCACTGTACAATCATCCAGGCCACATTTCTTTCACACTTACGGGGAAATCACAACATGTTGTCAGAGACCACAGAAGAAAATCATTTAAATGACTGGACTTTGTCTGGCCCAGCTTGGCCTTGACAGACAGGATGGCTACCTCTCCCCATACAGCACATGTCATCTGTCCCCTGAGCCACAGTCAGTGCAGCTGGGCATTCTATTGACACTGTCCCATCACTCTGAAGACAGCACACTCACACTAACCCCAACATTCAGCTCCCCAGGGCCCCACTATGAAGCTAATATCATTTTGTGTGTGTATGTTTTTCCAGGGAAATTATTTGTCTGGGTGTGCTTGTGTGAACTTCCTTTTATATTGACAAGAACAGTAGCATCCTGTATATACCAGTTTAGTTTACTAAGGTCATACAGTTAAATAAGTTAAAATGCAAATAGTACTAGAAGGTTTACAATTAAAATTACCAACATCCAATACCCCATGCTGCCTCTCTACCCCTGTTCTCCAGAGGTAGCATTTTACAAACATTTTGGTTTTCACTTAATGTTTACATAGTATTTCTAAATACTGTGCTGATATTGCCATTTGTTGGGTTTTTAAAAATCATTATAGACATTATCTTGTGACCTCCTGCAATAAAAGAAAGGATTTCTTTTTCTTCCCACAAACTCCCAATATAAAGCAATTTGCCTGAGTCAATATTCAGTGTTTATATTATCATTATCTTATATTATATATGTATTATTAAAACATTGCTCACTGCTGAGTTTCCTAGTGCAAAATGATACATTTTCTTTCTTGTATGACTTTTGATTTTCCCAGAGTTAATAATCACTCTTGATTTTTTGCTTAGATTTCAGTGTACCTATCATTATTTCATCCCAAACTTTCTGCAGAACTGTAAAGCTCCTTGCACTATAGCATATATACAATGAACATAGGTTTATTTTGTTTTCTTGGAAGCACCACTCCTGGAGCCCCTGACTCTTTAATTCTAATCTGGACTGATTGCTTTCCAGGCCCATCACACCACTGCCATCCTTGCGCTGCCCTTTACTATCTCCCTTGAAATTCACTTTGCCTTCCTCCAGGTTGAAACCTTTTGTTTTCCGGATCTTGTGTCTTCTTTTTTCTTGGTTTATTCACTAGTTTTAATGGAGGACATCCTATGAAAGCTTTCTAAGAGGAGGTTCTAAGAGATAATTTTTAAATTTGCATGTCAAAAATATTGTTATTCTACCTTCACTCTTGGCTTACAGGTTAGTTAGGATTTAAATCTAGATTGAAATTTTTTCCTTAGAATTTTGAAAGTGTTTAACCACTGTCTTCCAACATAAGTCCAAAGCTGTTCTGACTCCTGATTCTCTGTGTAGTCTGTTTTTTTTTTTTTCTCTCTCTCTCTATGGAAGCTTTTAGGATCTTCTCATTATCTCTAGCATTCTGAAATGTCATCATGACATGACTTAATGTGTGTAGGCTGCTCTTTATTTTTTCCTCAAATATCCAATGCCGCTTGGCTTTTGACTCATACTTATATGGAGTTTCTAAGATGCTGTCCAGAAGCTCGCCCTAGTCTTCATTAAACTGGTGGCCCCAAGTCAGGGGCCTGTCTGGCTCCAGCTCTCTCTAGATGGTCAGCACCTGTCTTCCCAGGGGTGGCGCAGGGATGTCTAGGGGATTGCAGGAAGATAGAAGGAATCACATAATACTTTAAATCCTCTATTCTGTTTTCACCTGACACTGTATCCTGGGCTTCCAAGGTTCCTGAGCCTGTTTGGGTTCTTGATTCCATCATCCAACCCCTGCAGGCAATTTTCTTTCCACTTTCTGTTCAACTAAGTCTGCATCATGGGTCTATCTGCTTTGCACTTTTGAAATTTTTGTTGACTTCTCTCATCTACTATCATTGCTTGTGATCCTTTTGTTCTTGTGGATTTCTCTCTTCTGAAAAACCAATATTTCTTGCTCTCCTTTGAGTAAAGAAAACAGAGACAAAAGAAGATGCTCTATTCTCCATGTTAACTGAAAGTCCCCTGCACTTTGCTTTCTTAACTTAATCATATACATTGGAGATGGCTCTATATCAAACATCAAGCTCCTCCTCTCCTAGGCAGTATTCCACGGAGGGATGGATTTGCATTTATTTTACCTGTGACCTATGATGCTAGTGGAAAGGCCATGTCAAAGTGTGTTTCCCACTTTGAACCAGGATGTCTGAGCTTGTCCAGCCTTTGCTGGTCCTATTCCATTTTTCAAAGCTCTAATCGGTTGTTCCACATCCTCAGTTGCTCCCCAGGATGTGGTCTCCTGGGTCCTCGGCTTGGCTCAGTAGAGAACTCTCACTTGTATCACCCTCCCATCTTGGAGTTTCTGCCCCCCAGGTCCCCATGCTTGTCTTGCTCTGTCTTGTTTGAAGGTGTCTAATATGAGAAACAAAAGCAGAGTAGGAGCTGAGCTCTTCACCCTCTGCTCTGCCTGACTTATACAGTACATCCCTAGACCCCGCCCCCAGCGCTGACCCGCTGCTGTTCTTCAAGGCCCCAGAGTGTGGGAGCCTCCTGGGCAGAAGCTACCCAGGGGCAGGCGTGGCCCCTCGTGTCCAGGATTAGAACTGTCAAAAGAAGGGGCGGGCCAGAAAGAGCTTTGAGAGCAGCTTGTGAGAGACAAGGCTAAGTATGAGACAAGGCTCCCCGAACTGGAGCCCTCCCTGGCAGCATTCACCAGGATCTGCCTCCCCAGTAAAATACATATCAAATATGCTCTTCTAGGGCAAAGGCACCTTTGATGGGCATGGAAACAGGCTGGAAACAGGATCTGGGCAGAGGCCATTACAGGGCCTGGGTGGGCCATTAAGAAGGGAGGAATACCTGAGCATGACTTGCTTCCAAGGAAATCTTTCTCAGAAGGCCAATACAGAACAGATGGATGGATCGATGATCCACTGATGGATTGATAGCAGGTGGATTGATATTCATGGAAGAACCTGAACCCTCCCCACCCTCCTGGCTCTCCTCTGACCCACCCATCCCTTGCACCACCATGCTCACTCCTAGTATATATGAGGAGCCCCAGCATCTGAAGAATACCATTTGGAGCCCCTGGAGTGAAAAGAAGAGCAGGCAGGGCCATGGTCCATTGCCAAGAGCATTAACTAGTGCAACTCCTTTGAAGGACAATACTGTCATATCTACCAAAATTCTAAATGTATCTACTCTTTGTCCAGCACTTCTATGGCTAGGAGTTTCTCCAGTGGATTTACTCTCACCTGTTGGATAAGATCTTTATACATAAATGTATAAATGCATCATCTGTAAAAATGAAAACCATAAACAACTTAAGAGTCCATAACAGGGGGCCAGTTTCATCCACACTAAGGGATGACCAATACCATTAACAATGAATGAGGCCAATCTCTTTATGCTTTAGGTGAAACTGGCCAAGATGAACACTTAAAAAAAAAAAAAGGTACAGAACAGTTTGAATGGGATAAATGCTGCAGAGTGAATGGGGTTAAACTGTGTAAGAATATAAGTAGGTCTACACATGGACAATCTTTCTGGAAGGCTGGATGATACACTAACAGCAAGCAGAGGCTGCTGAGGGTCTGGGAGGAGTGAATAGAGACATTTGCTTTTCACTTAGAACTTTCACACTATTTGAATTTTCTAGCCATGCTCATATATTCCTTATTTAGATTTTATTTTATTTTTACTCATGTGCTACTTTTTAGAAAATATCAATAGGGGTTATGTGGGTAGTAGGACACAGGGCATTTGGAGTTTTTTGTCACTTCTTTATGCTTTAAAAAGTGAGTGAATATTATTTTACAAAGGGAAATCCTATAACCCAGCGACAGTCCCCAGTTTCTGTGGCTCTCTGTTCCCTGGTCATCCCTCGTCCCCTCGTGTCTTGTGCTTGTGGCAAAGTCATTACCCCCTGAGAACCTGAGTGGGAAATGTGACTTCCAGATCAGATGTGGTGACTGAGGAGGGTTAGTCCAGGCTGAGACGATGAGGGGAAAGGAGAGGGTCCCAGACTGGAGGTGTCCTCACTCTAAGCTCCCCCCACCTCCCCATCAAATGTCTTGGTGAGATTATGTATTCATCAGACAGGTTTCTGTCGAGCACCTGGCTTGGTCCGAGCATGTACACACACTCTTCTCATACTGTTCACACTCTATGCAGCCCCATAAGGAGGGCATCTTCAGCACCTTGACATTGTAGGGTGGTTGTCTTTGGCTGGACAGAGGCTTGTATGACAGCAGGGACTGAACTGCTCACTATCACACCCCCAGTGCCTCCACAGTGTCTGGCACATAACAGGCACTGGAGAGAGCTTGGGAATAAGGGGGGAGGGAGAGAGAGAGAGAGAGAGAGAGAGAACGAGCGAGCTGAACTTCAATGGTGCATCTGACTTTGCTCAGGCAGTGCATGGTTAGAACAGGTCTCAGACTTCAGTTTCCTAAGTCCTTTCCCCATTTTCTTCATCATTGCAAGAAGGCTTTGTACAGCTCTGTGATCCTATGAAGAAACCCCACCTTGAACCCCAGTATAGGGGCAGCAGCCTGAAGCCTGATGTCTCATTCAACTCCAGGGGGTCCCTGGGAAACACGCCCCAGGTGTTCCTTGCCTGGGGTACATTCCTGACTGCCCTGTTCCAGACTCATCTTTTAGAGCTATGTGGCTCTGAGCAAGGACCACACTCAGGAAGCAGAGTGAGATGCGTGTGGGGGGTGGCGCCCGCTCACCTTGCACCAGGGAGAGGGAGCAGGGAGAGGGAGGGGAGCTGGAGCTCTCTACTCACCACAGAATTTCATTTCTGGTGAGGAAGGTCAGGGCCTGCAACAGATCACAGAGAGGTGAACTATCTGCTCCATTCAGCCCTGCCCTTGCCCCTTGGGGAGTGGGGTGCATCGGGGCTGGGGAGGAAAAGTCCATTCTCTTCTTGCACAGCTGGGGCAATGCAGGAGACCCAGTCCCAGGTCGTGGATGTCTGAGGTGGTGGCACAGGGGGAAATAGCACCTTTCCTTCCCCCATTCTCTGACTGCCCAAGGAAGGAGGGTGTTGGCGCAGACATAGAGAGGGATCAGAGACAAGACTAAAACCCTGGGTTCTGGAGCCGGAGACCTCAGGGAAGGAAGGTGACCTCAGGGACTAGACTGGGCCATATGGATGCAGGTTCAGCAAAGGCAAGAGCCACCCCTACCCTGCCTGGAAAACTTCAGGTAAGAGTTTTCCCACTCATCCTGCCTGCCTTAGGAAGTGCCCTCTCTGCCCAGAATCTCTGCCCTGATCTCCCCACCTGGTACTCTTCCAAGTCCTCCCAGTGCATCTGGTACCTCAAACACTGCCCCATGCCAAACCCACTCTTCTCTCTGCCAGTGGCAGAACCTCAGCCCCAAGGGCTCACCAGTTGAGGCAACTTGTTGATCTGGTTGCCATGGTGACCCACATTCCACCTTCTGCCCATTCCACCTGAGCCTCTGAGTTGGCCAAAAAACAGATTCTTCTCATTCCCAGAGTTAAGAGACATCACTCTCAAAACAACAGACAGAAAGGCAGCCCAACTGCAGGGTTGAGAATCACATTGTTGGCTCAGGGGTCATACTGCCTGGGTTCAAATCCCAGATCTGCCTCATGCTGACCATGTGACCTGGGGCAAGCTACTCAGTCTCTGTGTTTCTTCATCTGAAAATTGGGGGTGATAATCATAGGATTGTTGTGAGAATTAGTCAATTTAGGTGACAATGCCTAGCACATAGTAATGTTTAGTGCTCAATTTAGTGCTCAATAAATGTTAGTATTAGAACCACATCCTGCCAGACACAACAACTTGCATCTATAATCCCAGCCACTCTGGAGGGAAGTGGGAGGATCACCTGTGCCCAGGAATTAGAGGCTTTGGTAAGCTATGATGGCGTCACTGCACTCCAGCCTGGGCGACAGAGTGAGATAGTGTCTTAAAAATACAAATACAAAATAAAATAAGAGCCTCATTCCAGGAACCATATCTGATGTAGGGATACAGAAATGAATAACATAGACTCTGACCTCAGGAAGTGGTCCCCCAAAACATGGAAAAGGGCATTCTACCCCATCAGGGTGTCTGCAGGAACAGAGAACACATTCAAATCAGGATAAGGTGAAGAGGATCTAATGAGGGAACTCTCCACACAAGTGTGGTCAGGGTGTAGGGAAACCACCAGCATAGTTCAGACAACAGAGCTGCTACCAGCCCCAGCCCAATGATACACCTGGAAGAAATATCCCAGCGTCCCTCTCTCCTCTTTCTCTGATCTCCTTCAGGGACACAAAGCAGGGTGGACTGGATGAACAGTGAATCTGAACAGAGAAGACATCCAGCACAGCCTTCAACATCCCAGGCCAGGAGGATCCTCCAGAAGTAATCTCCCCCTCCCCTGCCTCCAGGAGGGTCTGCACGCCCACCCTTGTTGTGCCAGGGCTGGTCTCCTTGTTCTAGGACAAGTTCTTCCATGTGCTCTCCTAGGTAAACATCACTGTGACTTTCTGACAGAGCTAATTCACATCTCTGGGAATGCAACTGCCTGCCTGCCTGCTCTCCCTTTGTCTGTCCTTTGTGGGGAGGGAGTCTGGTGGAAGAAAACCCAGAGCCCTCATTCCTTCATTGACTCGCCAGACAGATAAAGTATCGACAATGTGCCGGGGACTTGGCTTGACCCTGGAGGAGAAATGACGGAACATGATCTCAGCCCTCAAGAAACGCATGCTCAACAGACACACACACACACACACACACACACACACACACACACACACACACACACACACACCAGGGAGATGGAAACAAATGCCACAGGGGGATAAGAGTACAGAGATATGAGTATTCGGAAGAGGAAAGATTTGCTGGGAAACAAGTCGTTTCATGTAAGTGGTGGCATCTAAGTGGTCATTAAGAATCTGGGTTCAAAGTAGCAAAGGCGGGTCAGGCGTGGTGGCTCATGCCTACAATCCCAGCACTTTGGGAGGCCGAGATGAGAGGATTGCTTAAGCCCTTGGGTTCGAGATCAACCTGGGCAACTTGGAGACCTCACCTCTACAATAAAACAAAAAATTAGCTGGGCATGGTGGTGCGTGCCTGTAGTTCCAGCTACTTGGAAAGCTGAGGCAGAAGGATCGCCTGACTCCAGCAGGTGGAGGCTGTGGTGGCCGGGAGCGTGACACTGCCCTCCAGTCTGGGTGACAGAATAAGACTCCAACTCAGAAAAAAAGTGGTAAAGGCCTGGTTGCAATTCTTCTTGCTGCATCATCTCACACAAGTCATAAAGCCATTCTCAGTCTCAAGACTTCATCTGTAAAATGGGAATGATAAATCTCTACTTTATAATTATTGCAGAGGTAAAATAAAATGATATATGTTTGTAAAGCTCTTATTTAGCAAGATACCTGGTACATATTGAGTTATCAACTAAGGATAAATAATATTACTTTTAAAAGCTAGGCCTGGGAGAAAGGATAGGATTTAGCAGGCAAAGTCAGCAATCAAATTCTATCTTCTGCTCAATGCTTTCAGTTTCTACCATGATTGATCAAACAGCTTCTATCTGCTAGGTGTGTCCACACAGACTTTCTGCATTCACATTCACAGTGGCTCTGTGAGCTGGGTAGTATATCCTCTTTCCTTGGCTGTGAGGAAGGTGGAAGCTGGTGAGGTGAAGTGATACTCTTGGGCCACTCAGCTGGCAAGAGGGTAAGTTGCAGGTCTGGGGATTCCCAGAGCATGGTAGGAAACTCAGGGAAGCCAGGGGATCTGCAAAGTCACCCCCTCCCTCCCCCCGGAGGCCACTTCCGTCTCCAGTGTCAATCCTCCTAATTACAACAGGTGCAAGTGACAGGTTGTCACCGGCTGGTTGTGACTTTAATACTTGGCTGACACTTGTTCAAAAGAAAACAAAAACAAAGGAGAGAACTGCCTGGCAACTGAGAGCTGTCTCAGTCCCTATTGACTGAGTTAGGCAGAGGAGACAAGAGGTGAATGAGATGGACAACGTTCTGCCCTATGGAGTCAGACATGCTTACACATATCCATATCCCTTAGACAACCATGCGTGCTATGTAAGAAAGAGCAGGGCAGGTTGAGGAAGGGCATGGCCCCAGAGGGGTTGGTGATCATGGAAGCCTTCTCAAGGAGACACCACTGAAACAGAGAACCGGGTGACAGGGAGGGGTACGCCAGGCTGAGAAGTCAGGAACAGTTTTTCAGGCTCAGAAGGCAACAGGATCCAGCTAGAACTTAATAACTGTTTGGTTTTCACTGTATTTGCTTACCTGGTACCTTCCATTTTGAAAATGATGCAGGTTTGCCATTTATGACTGTAATATAAACTTTCCCTTATAAATGTACCTGTTTAATTAAAGATATAGGAGCCCATTTTAAAAATACTAAGTAAATAATTATACACATGGTGAAGCAATATGCCAGAAATCACAAAGTTCTCTCTCTCTCTCTCTCTCTCTCTCTCTCTCTCTCTCTCTCTCTCTCTCTCTCTCACACACACACACACACACACACACACAAAACCAAGGTTTGTAAACTCTGCTACCTTCTTCTCTCCTTCACCTTTCAAACCCCCAGCTTCCAACTCCTGCCCATCCACCCCCCACAGGCTCCGAGATTTCATCCTAGAAAGAGTTTTCATTTGTTCCTATAATAACAATAGTAACAATAAGACTATCACCTTACATTTGCATATCTCTTTGTAATTCCAAAATGCTTTTCTCTGTACCAACACATTTGTGCAAGAAATAAAAGCCAATGCTCCTTAAAAAAGAAAGAGGCTGGAGTGGGTGGCTCACACCTGTAATCCTAGTGCCTTGGGATGCCAAGGTGGGAGGAACACTTGAGGCCAGGAGTTCAAGATGGGCAACATAGTGAGATTCATCTCTACAAAAAATTTAAAAATTAGCCAGGCATGGTGGCACATACCTGTAATCCCAGCCACTTGGGAGGTGGAGATGGGAGGATTGCTTAAGCCCAGGAGGTTGAAGCTGCAGTGAACTATGATCATGTCACTTTACTCCAACCTGAGTGACAGAGTTAGATTCTGTCAAGAAGGAAGGAAGGAAGGAAGGAAGGAAGGAAGGAAGGAAAGGAAAGATCCTCCTTCCACATGGTTTGGACTTTAATACACTAAACAACCCAACCCCTCTCCAGCTCATTATGTTTCTCTAACTCCTCTTAAGCAGGAATTTTGGAAGGCATGTAACTGAGCAGAAAGCAGGGGGAAGGGCAGTTCTACATATATCCTTCCCCTTCAGGGTCTGTCCCTGTGGGAACTCTCCGCATGGGACAGACTAAATTATTTACAAGGTTTCTGTTACCTTGCAATTGCAGTTTTATGGACTTTAAAAACTACAGCCCCTGCTCCTACATTGATTCATACAGTTCTTAATATTCAAGAGAGGCTGAAAAGAAACTTATATTCAAAATGTATAAAGAACTCTAACAATTTAACAATAAAACATCAAATAAACCAACTAAAAATGGGCAAAAGTTTTGAACAGACATTTCTCCAAAGAAGATATATGAATTGTCAATGAGCATGTGAAAAGAAGCTCAGTATCATTAGCTATCAGAGGGATGAAAATCAAAACTACAATAAGATATCTCCTTACAACCTCTAGTATGGTCAAAAATTTTTAAAAAATTAATGAGAAGTGTTGGAGAGGATATAGAGAAACTGGAACCCTCATACATTGCTGGTGGAACGTTAAATGGTGCATCCACTTTGGAAAAGAGTTTGGCAGTTCCTCAAAAAGTTAAGCAGAGTTGTCATATGACCCAGCAATTCTACCCCCAGGTATACAATCAAGAGCAGGAAAACTGTGCTTATACAAAAACTTGTACTGGAATGTTCACAGCAGCATTATTCATAATAGCCCCAAACTGGAAATAGCCCAAATGTCCATCAATTGATGAATGTATAAATTAAATGTGGTATATCCATACAATAGAATATTATTCTGCAATGAAAAGAAATGAAGTACCGATACAGGTATAATATGGATGAATATTAACAACATTATGTAAAGGGAAAGAAACCAGTCACAAAGAACAACATATTGTATGATTCCACTTATATGAAATATCCAGAATAGGCAAATCCATAGAGACAGAAAATAGATAGGTGATTGCCAGGAGCTGGGAGCTGGGGAGACTGGGGGTGACTGCTGATGGGGATGGGGTTTCTTTTTGGGGTGATAAAATATTCTTACAGTAGATGGTGGTGATGGATGTACAATGCTGTGAATATATACTAGCAATCATTGAGGTGCGCACTTTAAACGAGTGAATTGTATGGTATGTCAATTATGCTCTAATAAAGCTGTTATTCAGATTTTTTCAGAGGTTTTTAAGTTATAACTTAGT